AGATGTCTGTCTACACGTGAAGGTGTAGAATAAGGAACTGTAGTTTTTCACGCGAAGGTGGTAAATTGAACTGTTTAATACATCAGCAAGTGCGAGTAGGCACTAATCAGTTATGTGATAAAACTGGTAAAACTATACAGAATCCTGTTTGTATCAAACGGCACTTGTATTTAATGTAATGTGTACCTTTTCTGATTATCTTTATTAAATGTTCTGTGGTGTGGAAAACAACGTTGGAATTGTTATTTAGCATCTTCAACTCCCCCACTACATATATATATATAAACAGTACAAATTCCGAGATCCGGACATCCAATATCTGGAATGATCTAAAATCCGGACCTCAAAGCCACCACCAACCAATTTTTTATATTTTTATCATTATAACAATTTGGATCATTAAAATTAAATTTATAAAGATTTTCTGCTTTAGTTATTTTTGAATATTCTAGTTTCAAAATTTTTAAAGTGCTGAAGGCAATCATTTACAAGTTTTAAAATATCTTCAGCAAAAACGGGAATAAGTGGTTTATCACTTCAAGGATAATATTCAAGAAAAGGCAATATTTTTGACAGAGAGGAAAAAAAAAATTAATTTCATAAGAAATGTTTTATCCTTAGCTGCCTTTAAAATATTTGAGAATGATTTTTTTTTTAAACTTCGCCATTTAACTTTTTTAATGTACAGTAGCAAGTCATCCCATAGCTCAATGGTTTTTTCAAACTGCTGGGACATCAGGGAGCTGTTTTAAGCCAGATATACTTAAAAAATCTTCACGTCTTGCAGGAGAGAATCTTTAAAAAATCCAATATAAAGATGATACGAACGATGGAATGTCCCAGCCAGTGGATGACATTCCATGTTTGAAAGCATTCTTAAGAATTTGTAAACCACATGTCCCTAATGTCAAGCATTGAATGTTATATTCCTCTGCCAATATGTTGCAATAAATTATAAAATTTCCAGTTTACTGCAGGACCATCCATCAATATTTGTAAGAGTTTTGACAAGTCTAGTTTTTCAGCACATTCATAAAATTTGGATAAAATAATTTCACTTATTGCATGCCCTATAAATGCAGAAGTAAGGTACTGAGTTCTGACCTTATTTTCGTGATGCCAGTTACCTCACATAAATATCTAGTTGCTTCTTTTGATTTGTCAGATTAAGAGTCTCATCAAATAGTAATGTAAAAAACTCAGCATTTTTACAATGCTTTAGTAACAAAGTTTTAAAATAAGGGCCAAGACCAAAATAACAGATATAAGCACATTTCTTTTCACCACATGAAAACTATTTTGCAATGGAAACTATCCGGGAACATTTTAGTGAATAACGGCCCAATATCATCGCACGATTTAAAAGAATAGTGGCTTTTGATGCACTTAAAAAGCCCACAATATTTCTGCATCTGTAACTTCAGATTTGAAAAGAAAAGAAAAATTTTTATTTTTTCTATTTATTTGATGGATTAGCAGTTACATCTTTTCTTGAAGTAGAATAAATAAATTCATTTTATTATTTTCTACATTTATTGATGTTGGAATTAGCAGTTACATCTTTTCCTGAAGTAGATGGTTCTTCTAACTTGACAAAATTCATGATACTGTTAGAAGAAACTCTGCAGTTGAGAAGGGAAAGATGTTTTGCAGCGTAAAAGGGGCATTACATGCAAGGCATTAGTAAAATTAAGTATCGCATATATACATATATAATGTATCTATCTATCTATCTATATATATATAATAAGAAATGTATACTGAAAATATACATTTTTACTATATATATATATATATATATACATATATATACAGTACATATATATATAGTACATATATATGTAGTATTCGTAAGTGCGACACAACCACCAGAGGGCCTCACCGATGCGCCAGCAGCGAGGTGAAAGAAGTATGACAGAGACCTCCTTCTGCTATCCCACGCGAAGGTGGTGAGATGTCTGTCTACACGTGAAGGTGTAGAATAAGGAACTGTAGTTTTTCACGCGAAGGTGGTAAATTGAACTGTTTAATACATCAGCAAGTGCGAGTAGGCACTAATCAGTTATGTGATAAAACTGGTAAAACTATACAGAATCCTGTTTGTATCAAACGGCACTTGTATTTAATGTAATGTGTACCTTTTCTGATTATCTTTATTAAATGTTCTGTGGTGTGGAGTTGGAAATTTATCTTCAACTACTACATATATATATAAACAGTACAAATTCCAAGATCCAGACATCCAATATCTGGAATGATCTAAAATCCGGTCCTCAAAGCCACCGCCAACCAATTTTTTAGGGCTTTTTTGGAGGGAAGGGGTATGCTTTACGCATGCACATTAGATTTTTTTCCTCATCATAAAAAACCATGCCAGAAATCCCGATTCTTAATCTCAGTTTGGCGCTAAATAAAATATCTCATTATTGAAGAAATAATTATTTTAGCATAAATTTGTGTGATTAGTAACTTGACTCCATAGCTGCGTATCTGCTTGGCATAATCTCAAACCGAAACATTTGTTAATTTTACACCAACTAATATTTTATATCCTTGATGCCGAAATCGCGAATCATTATTTATTGTATTTTGCTTTCATCACCGCATGTTTATCAACGGAATGACAACTTGAGTGATGAATCATGCAGCGATGCCAAATAACAGAGTATTATACGATTACAGATTTAAGTTTAATTTAATGCGCTAAAATGTTGACAAGGGGAGATTTAGCAGAAATTTCTTTCCTTATGCTAAAAATAGATTTTGTTAATGATACTCATAGGACAAACGATTATATTTAGTGCTATTTGAATTAAGAATAACTGATTTGTTATTCACATAAAGCCAGAACCAGCTCCAGAGCTCGCATGGCCGCACCAGGCGGCAGAATTTAGCGAAGTTAGGCGCAGCACAGAAATTAATGTACGAAATTTTGTAATTGTTTTCATTGCAAGATGAAACAGCTATGGTTAAACAAAGTTTTTCATTGCAACAATGCCCAATCAATCAATTAACGGAGGGCGAAATCTGTAGTATGGTTCTAAATCCAGAAAATACAGCTACCGATAGTGAAGAAAGTAACAGAGAGGTTACTGAACGAGAAAAAATTTTGATTGACAAGTTATTCGGAATTCTCGACACAGCAATTACAGGACTTGAACAATGGAACTTAATAACTGAACAAGAAATTATATGTCTATAGTATTAGTCTAAAGTATTAGCAGAGAAAACAAATCAAACAACTCACATTGAAAGAAATGTTTAATAAAGTAAACATATAAATATTAAGCTCTTTTCTTTGGTAAATTTTGATACCCTTTAAATCATAAATGCTTCATTATTTCATAAATCACGATTTCATATTTTCAATTTTATAATTTCTACGTGCCATCTTAGTAGATTTAAAATGATCTAATATCCGGAAAAATCTCAAATCTAGGATCGCCGAAGTCCCGACGAGTCAGACCTCGGACTTTGTACACTGTATAAATATATATATATATATATATACGGAATGTATATTTTCAGTTAAACTTCTACCCAATAACTTTAGTAATTCATGAAAGTTAATTTTGCGTCTAGTTAATTCAGGAAAATTAGTTTCAATTAGTTGTTTTCAGCTTTAAAAATATTAAAAAATTTTTAATTAGTTATTTTTTTCAACTAATAATTGTATCGCCATTAGCAAAAATTATGCATTACTATCAAAAACATAGGTTTAAACCAAATACTTAATTGTCTATTGAAGCTTCAAAATGTATTTCCGAACTTCACTTTTTCTCAGGCTAGCGTTACCGATTTTGCCCTTGGCGACCTAAAATCGAAATGGAGCCAACAGATTTCCCGCGAAATCGATAACAGACCCTCTGCAGAAATAAACTCATAATCCCGATATCCCATACATATAGTATGTGCAAAAGAGAATAAACTCCGTAGAAGGTGATAAAAAATTAATTTATGGCTTAATTGAAACAAACACAGAAATTAAGCTAAGCAAAACCGTGTAAAAACAAATTGAAATGATAAAACGAAACTTAATTTTAATGTGAATTTTCAGTGCTGACTCTCCCATTCTAGAAATTTCAATTTGTTTCAGACAAAGACCACATTTAAGGATTGCCATCCATCAATATCCAGTCTTTGTAGTCAGCTTGATGAAGCCACAGTTTATTGAAAATGCACTTTCCAGGCATCTCGTTCCTATTGGCGTCGGAAGGGTTGTGGCCTTCCAGGTTGGAATTGCTCTAATTTTGGCAAATATTTTCAGAATCTCCCCCCTCCCTTTTTTTTTCTCGAGCACCTTCATCATCACTTTTCGCCTCTTAAAGAACTTCCAGCTTCACGCTTTCGTCACAGTCTGCCTAAATTTATGGATAACACCTGTTTCGAAAGATTGGGTGAATAGCCAATCAGACACCGATACTTTCGTTCGGGTAGCTAATTGTTTTTTTTTTTTTTTTTTTTTTATCGTTTGCAATGCAAATCCGCCAACAGATTAGTTAAGAGCTGTGTAATTTTAATTCCATATTCATGAGAAATCGTAATTCACACTTAGAATGGCAATCATTAGAAATGAATAAGAAATGTCAAATGAGCAAAATTAAGGACCGTTTATTCATTTTGGCCAAAATTAAGGACTTTTAAGGACCAAAAATCATTTTTGAAAAAATTAAGGACTTTTAAGGACCGTATGAACCCTGTTTTGACATGATTCAGATAGCAGAAAAAAGAGAGAAGCTATCAACCATAAATTAAACAAAATTTAATTTATTTCATTTAATTATATAAATTATTGTAACAAATTTATTTCAATTCTACAAGAAATGTAATGACTATTAATTTCAATCTTCAATAGAAAATACAGAGAATACATAATGTTTTTACTCGTAATAAAACAGAAAATGAAAAATTACTTGAAAATATCTAACTTAGTTTATATCAAATGGTACTTTAAGTCAAAGAAAAATTTTGCATAACATAATTATCTCTAAATAACTTACGATGAGCACTTTCCAGAGGACAGATTCGTAAACATATGCCATAGTCTTCTAATTCTATTATTTCTGTCTTAATATTTGGTACTTGTCTTGCCATTAGTTGCACAAGCTATTGAAAGTGATATATTTGTTTTTTACACAAATAATAATTTGGGATATTTTAAGAAAAACATCAACTCAAAAATGATAAACTGGTACTTGATAGACATCAGTCTTTTATTTGAATAATCCAATAACACACACATATACAAAAAAAATCAAATATTAAATATTGCTCCCAGTAGTAAAACAATATTCAGACTTTAGATTTGTTTTATACATAAGAGAAGAATGAAAAGTTTTGAGCTTTACAACAAAGGGCATTCTTGGACTACAGTTTCTCGTTACGATTTCTCTACGTAATCAACCCCTACATCAATAAACTTTTACGTTCTCTGCTGTAATTTGCAGTTTTCTTACAGTATGATCTGTCCTAAGTCTCTCACCGCTGAAAAACTGCCTCAGTGACCTTATTATCTGTGTTGAAAAGACATACTTTATATCAAAGAACAAAAGAAAATCTGAGGGGGTTAGGTCGTGAGAATAAGGCTAATGAGGAAGTGATGTGAAGCCCAGTCTACTAAACCAATTTATACTATTATGGCATGGTAAAGAGGTGCATTACTTCAATGCACAATGAATCTTTTTTCAATTTTCCATCACTTCTCCTCCATACAGTTTCATAGTTTGTGCATCACACTGGCATGATATTCCGAATTGCTAGTGGAGCCTCTCATCACAAAATTAACCCTCCTTTATCTTCCTCCCCCCCCAATACTATTTTTGAGAACTAATCAATGTAAGAAGTTTTATTTAATGCAAAATGCTTCCTCTCTCCATTTTATAGAAAACATGTCAATTTCTTAAAATTTAAAACTCCAATCTAACCTCTTACAAAACTTTTAACTATCTACCGCAATACGAGACCAATTTTACATTACTTTCATTATCAAAAATTAACATGAGTAATATCCCAGAAAGTCTGTAAAGATTAAGTTGATGAACCCATTTTATTATGATTTGGATCTATCCTATAACCTCCTTCTCATTAGCTCTCACTAGGATACAGATAAATAAACATATTTATGGCACAGCTCTTGAAGAAAGTTTTAGACCTAGAGCTTTGGCAATGATCCTTGCCAGTGGTACTTTTGCTTGCCCAGCTATGCTAAGTTAGCATTCTAGTATTAGCCATTTTGCAAGCCAAAGTTAAATCACACACTTAGAAGTTTAAGCCACTGCTTAGTTAGGCCAGTTGTACTGCAGTTTCCACTTTTTGCAAATTTAAGCCACTGTCACCTACTGCCTACAAGTACCGAGGTTTCATCTGTATTTACAAGTTGAACATTTCATACAGAAAATAGGTATAAATTAAAATTTTTTAATCATCATTATTATCGTTTATATATTATTTGGTTGTATATTATTTGGTTGTTGTTTGGCTTATATATATTTGGTTGTTCGGTGATATCTCTTGTTTGCCGTTGTGTATTGTCCGCTTAGGCGGCAATCCCTAGCTGAAGAATTCAAACTCCTGCATCACAATGACTTTCATGAGTACTATTGTTTATATATGATTTAATAAATATAAATTAAATTTTTTTGTTTAGAAAAGTCATCCTTTTGTTAAAAAAAAAATTCCAATCCATCTGCTGCTTTCAGAGTATATATTTGGTCTGCATGGAATTTTAGTTTGAGACTACCATACTAGGCAAAAGATCCACCTGAATGCCAGATCCTACATCATGATTCACTACTCCATAAGTCTTTCTATTCATTCTCAATACATTGGACAGTTTGCAAATTCATCTGACTGAACTGTCAGTACCTTGAATTGGCTGGCAATGATTGAACTGTCAATATTTTGAATTATATATGCATTTGAGTACTGAATTGGTGAATTCAACGCTTTGGGCCATTCAATTGGGTTGGATTATTTGCCCCATTTCAAATGATGTCAGCCACTAGACCCATAAATAATGACTTCCACACAGCAGGCATAATTATGAAAAAGAGTGCCTATCAACTGATAGCCTTATGCCATACTTCTGTTCTAAAGCAAAGATGAAACTCATTTGCAGTATGTTTAGTATTTTTTGTTACCAGACGACTTTCTAGTGTATCTTTGCAACAATAGATGGCACTACTGCCTGATGATTCAATTGTGGTTGCTATGGTAACGAACTTTCCAAAGTATGTGAGTTATGTGTTCTATATTTTATTATTATTGCTACAGTGCTTTGAGTGATGTGTGCTGCGTCGTCACACGGACGGCATTTATTCTATTTCAAAGTGTTATGTAAATTAAATAAGTTATATTACAGTCTGCTTTGTTTTTGTGAACTTATTCTTAATCATTTTCTGGTCAGTGTGACCGCAGGTGTGAATCAGCGAACTTTGGATATATATGTGATTTATTCCAATTAGCAAGTGAAATCACTTTTGATTTATGGATTAATAATCAGCGTAGTGTACTTTCGATTCAATTTGTGGATTATGGGTATGGCATGATGTAGTGTAGAAACCTCGGCGTTGGGGTGAGTATGTTCCAATTTTTCCCTCTTTTTTGCTGAAGTTGTTAGTATAATATTTATTGTTATTCATAATGGTTGATTTGAGACCAGTTGTAACTAAAAAGAAGGTTCTAAAAAGGAATGTAACAATGTTTAAAGGCAAGGTAAATTCGAATTTAGAACAAGCAGAAATTTTAGAGGTAATGTTGTTCGAAACCAAACTAAATGCTTTTAACAGTGAACTTTGTTCTATCTTTGAGGATATATTTTGTTGTGTCCTGAAAAAGATTGCAATACATTCATTACAGAACAACAAACAATACAAGAAACTTTAGATGAATTATGGATAACTATAAATAAGTTGCAGAAATTTTTCAGTGATTCTGTTCTCAAAGCAAGTAGTGTAGCAAAAGTAAATGTGTCTGACGTTCGATTACCAAAATTAGAACTTTCTTCCTTTACAGGGGAAAATATAGAGTGGATTAGTTTTTATGATCTTTTTAAGGCTAGTGTAGATAACAATCCGCATATTTCTAAATGTCAGAAGTTTCAATATTTAAAGGCTTCTTGTAAAAAAAAGGCTCTGTCTATTATTGAATCTATTCCAATATCTGATGCTAATTATGATATAGCATTGCAACTTTTACAGGAACGTTATTCTAATAAAAGAGAATTAACTAATACATTAATCCGTAAAATGTTTAATTTGTCAAATGTTTCTGATTCAGCTCAAGCTATTTTACATTGTGTTGATGTAATGAATGAATGTGTACATTCCTTGAGAACTCTTAAGCTAGAAGTTTCTGATCGTTCTGATGTTTTTTTTTTTTTTTTTTTTTTTTTTTTTTTTTTTTTTTTTTTTTGTTTATCTGATAACTGAGAAATTAGATAAAAACATAAAATTTTAGTGGGAAAGAACTTTGAACAAAGATGAATAAGGTACTTTGGATAATTTACTCGAGTTTCTAAAAGACCACACTAGAACCCTTCAGAATAGTAGAAACCAGTCTAAAGATTTTAGGAAATTTTCTAATTCCAAAGTAACTTCTTTAGTGTCGAGTAAAAACAGTTGCACAATGTGCAAGGAAGATCATTGTCTTCACAAATGTGGTATGTTTTTAAACTTAAGTGTCCAAAAAAGAATCAAATTTGTTAAGAAACACAAACTTTGTTTTAATTGTTTATCTTCTAGGCCTCAATTTAGCGAAAAATTGTCAGTAGTTTACATAAATGTATGACGTGTAAATTGTCCTCCTCATACTGTTCTTCATTTTGAATCGAAATGCCCAAAACTAGTGAAAATGAGAAACCAAAACAAACGTCCTCCCTCTGCCCTCCAGTGCCGAAGTGTTCTTACCAAAGAACGAAGTGTTCTTACCAAAGAACGAAGTGTTCTTACCAAAGAATGAAGGGTTCTTGCAAAGAATGAAGTGTTCTTACCAAAGAATGAAGTTATCGTTACAAATGCCACAATATGTACAGGACAATTTAGTTATTCTAAAGGTGAAGCAAAACATGTGTATTACTCTGTGTACTGCTGTCATTAAAGTGTTAGTGATTCCAATGGTAAAGCCATCCCTTGCAGGGCTTTACTAAACAGCGGCAGTGAAGCCAGCTTCATAAGTGAAGAGTGTGCCAAAAAACTAAAGTTAGGTAGATTTAACAAAAAAATTGAAGTGCCATGCCTTGGTTCGTTCAACACTGTAACAAGTGAAGAAGTGGAATTGATCAACACCGTAACAAGTGGAGAGTGGAATTGTGTTGAATCAAACTCCAAGTTTCGAACATACACATTCATGATTCCAAAGATAACTTCAGATGTGCCTAACGTGGCAACTCCTTCTAAAATTACGAATCATTTTCATGATCTAGTCTTAGCTGATCTTAAGTTCTATGAAAGAAAACCTATTGATATTTTGTTAGGTGTAAATGTATTTTTTACTATGCTTAAGGGAGACATCATAAAGAGAGGACAATCAATGCCCTTTGCAATTTGTTCTCGACTGGGTTGGATCATATCTGGAAACACTACTGCAGATGATTCAAATCTAACTGACACTTATACAGTGAATAATCTTCAGTTGAATACAAACGAATTAGTTGAAAGATTTTGGTCTTTAGACTCCATTCCTGAAGTCAAGCATATCTCTAAAGAAGATTAAAAATGTCAAAAATTATTTAAAACAACACACTTTCATGATCAAAATGGTTGTTATGTAGTGAAACTTCTATTTAAAGATAACCCTTCAAGGTTGGGTAATTCTAAAGATCTTGCTTTACAAAGATTTAAATCTTTAGAGAGAAATCTCTTAAGATCCCCTGTACATATGAGATGTATAAACAATTCATGAAGGAATACTTGGATCTCGGGCACATAGAACCAGTTCGTAGTTCAGAGTCCCCAAGTCAGGCATACTAGATGCCACATCATGCAGTAATTAAGGAATCTAGCTCTATGAGCAAAATATGTGTGGTTTTTAATGCTACTAGTAAGTCTTCATCAGGACAATCTCTTAACGACATATTGATGACAGTTCCTAGAATACAACAAGAAATG